CAGAATCTACTTTAAAAATTACAATTTCTCCAGTGGCATAAATGTTTGGGGAGTTAAACCCTTACGAGGCGTTCTATTCTCCTCCACTGACATGTCCAAGGAAATGGATTAAGAGCCCTAAAAGTAGTCATTATTGATGATGAAGTGTATACGAAGGCTTAACTCCGTAGCTCAAACGGTTCCTAAGATAGTAGCAAAAACCAAATTTTTTTGTATTATTTTGACGCCCTGTATCTTGAAAACGGAAGCCCGTAGAAAAATTTCGAAAGGGAAAAAAATGTTTCTTTTTTCATGAGGAATCTACAGTTTTCCGTTGTGACACTTATTTGTTAACACCCTGTATAACTATCTCTCATTTTCAGAGAATTCGCACGAACGTTACAGTTGAAATTTGAGAAAAAATATGATTATATTAGAGAGTAATTTCATTCGCTTCATTTATACAGGGTGATTCGGCAGGAACGCATCAAACTCCAGGTGTGTATTGTACAGGGTACAGGTATAAATTATTTTAAAAAAACCATATACCTATGTTCTTATACGATTCTCATTTGATTTCATTCTATATTTGAATAGATGTGTGGAATTTTAAAGACCTTAATCGTACAAACTCAAAAATATAAACGCGTCAAACACACTGACACTGACACGAACACATGTCAGAACAACAAAATAACAGATGAAACAATCGAGTTTGTACAATCATTGTCGGCTGAATGAAGTTGCAACTTGATTTTTTCTCACATTCAGCCGACAATGGTACAATTAAGTAAAGTCTTTTAAAATGCTAGAAAATCTAATTTGAAATGAAGAAAACAAATGAGAATCGTATCAGAACATATGGGGTTTTCAAATTATTTTTACGTGTACAATAATTAATACACACCTGGAGTTTGGTGCGTTCCTCCCGACTCACCCTGTAGGTGGGGACCGGTGAGTTGGACCACGAGTACCTGTATTAATCCTTTTTTGAAAAAGGTCAAGTTAAGCCTACCCTGTAGTTCGACCAGGTTAAAATTGTATTTTCTAATCGATTTACCTAATAAAATTCTTCCAGTAACGTTCAAACGTTCTAGTAAGCATAATTATCCTTCATAAGTATCTAGTTAATTTAGTTTCTTAAAGAAGTGTAACTGCAACAAACATGGATTTGATTATTATTACTGAATAATTTTAAATTTTCTAAAGCTCATGTAGGAAAATGCGGAAAAATTCGCTTGCGGTGTTAACAGAAAGTGTTCTTCTGAAATGTATACCGAGGAAGACGAAATAATTATTATAGAAACACATTTAGAGCAAAATCACATGGAAGATAGTACTCTTAAAAAACAACAGGTTAGCAATACTTTGAAAAGTCAGGCGTTAGAAGATCTAACAGAAATACCCTCCAAGCTAATTCATAAGGAATTGAAGGTTTGTTCTTTTCATTATTATCACCACGCTTCATTTAACTTCATGTGTCTGTTTATTTATTTATCTGTTTTTATTTTAGCGCTTTTGTTTTATCAACATTTCAGCTTTGTACTGAATTTTTTCTTCAATTATTTACTGTTCATGCTTTTAAAAATGGCTATCATATACCTGTTGCATTTTGCTTATTACCAAATAAGAACGGCTCGAATTATTTGAAATTCTCTCAACTGTTAAATGAAAAATGTGAAACTTTGTATCTGATATTTGATCCTTCAACAGTCATTGTTGATTTTGAACAGGCAATTCATAACGTTTGTTGAATAATGTGGCCGAATATGAAAATTATTCCATTTATGCCAATCGTAGTATCCTAAAATTCAAAATTCAGGCTTAGTCACAGAATTTCGGAACAAAAATTCAGAAATAGTAAATTTTCCTAAATTATTTTCTGGACTTCCAATTTTAGACCCTCATGAAGTAGGAAACTTTTTTTCTGTAGAAATTCATTCAATAATGCCCAGTAATCCAAGTCTATCGAAATTTTGCGATTATATCGTGGAAACTTATATATCGATGAAGAAAGTAATTTTCCCTCAAGTATGTGGGCTTGTACTATACAGATATATAGTATGTACAGGACCACAAACGCGTGTGAATCATTTCATTCTAATTTTCATAGTTCTCACCCAAGTTTGTTTAATTTTGTAAATATTTTAATAAACTTTCAAGCAGAAACAAATATTAAAATAAATTCCGTAAAATGTTCCACCAAAAAACTAAAAGTGCAACACAAAAAAAAAAGATTTTGTAAGAATTATGTCTTATTATAATTCACCTCAATAATAAATAATATATGTTTAGAAAATATTGATTAATTTAATTCTTAGAATACAACCTTAATCTGCTCGAAAAGCGGTCGTGGTCCAACTGATCGGTGTACTTAAAACAGGTAGGTACCTGGCCCGTGGTCGAACTGTCCGACTCCCCTGTAGGTATATCGAATGATTTTGAACGTTTTTTTTAACAGGAAATTTGATACTTGAGAGAACAGCGGAAAGTGAATCAATAGAATCAATCTTCATAAAACAAAGCATTCTTCTATGAAGTGTGAATTTAGATCTATGTATGAAGGTACTAATGAAAATACCCCTGTTTCATGTTATCATCATTGAGAGGTGACTTCCTATGGTATTGACTTCATTGATTGTGGATAGGGTATTATGACCCAATATTTATTTTGATTACATTCAGTTGCTTATGATAGGCAATTCTCTTTACATTGTCTGTATAACTGGTTGCCTAGATATGCCATATTCCAGGTATATGCATATTCCACAAAGAATGAAGTTTTTGTAATATTCGTTCTTTGTTGACACACTTGTTCAAAATCACATGAATTTTCATTCACACTTTTGCCTTTTCTAGTAAAAGCACTGTTAAAAGTGACCATAGAATGTTTAAAATTATAATTAAACCTGAACGTCCATATATGGATAGTTTAAGTGTTCGTGAGCGACAGAGAATTTTTAGTATGTATAAGCCTCCGTGGCGCAATTGGCTAGCGCGTTCGGCTGTTAACCGAAAGGTTGGTGGTTCGAGCCCACCCGGGGGCGATATTTTTTTTCATTGTTCAAATTTGTTAAGACTCATATTCATTGAAATTGGTCGAACATAATTTTATGTTACCTGTTTTATCATAATGTAGGAACTTGAATTTATGAATTTATTGTTATAGATGAAGAAACCCATAGTCATCTTCACAACATTTATTTGACGATCAGAGATCAATCACATAGAGGTACATGTTTCGGGCTTATATAAGCCCATCATCAGCCGAATAAAGATTTGATTTATGGAAATGAAAAAGTTGAATACATTTGATAATTTAGACAATGAAATGGCACGAGACACAGACGTATGCACCATGATTAAGTATAATAGGATGTTTGTTTTTGATAAGAACTTTAAAAAGTTTCATTTATTATGAGTCATTAATTTTATAAGAGCTCATGCACGTGCCCTTAAATTGCCGAAGGTGACAATCACACATTCAAAAAATCAAACAGAGTTTGATGGGGTATCGAAGTTAACCTGTGAAATGATAAACAAAAATTTTATTATACCTCTAATCATGGTGCATATACGTCTGTGTCTTGAGCCATTTTATTTTCTAAATTATCAAATTTAAGTTTTATGAACTGAACATTTTCTAGGAAAACTATGAATACTTAGGGAAATGGGCGTCCTGATTCCAATCCGAAGTGATTATCAACCTATTTTGACTCCTAATTAGTCCTAATATCATTTCCGGAAATTCGGGTGGTTCCAGGGCTGTTGGCGATCAGTGTATATCACTGAAGATGACCCCACTTGGTCATAGCATTTTGGTATATCTCTCGTTCTAGCAAATTTCAGGATCCTTACCCAACGATTACGTAAGATACAGGGGTGCTTCCATTAGAAGTGGGTCACACTGTATAAGTCCAGGCGCCCATTTTGACGATTGTGCAAAGATTGCGTGAAAAAGAATGTTTATACAACGAAAAATACAGATGCCAAGAAGTTCACGATGAATTTATATGCTGATATCATGTCACTACAAAAACTTGAATATCTCAAAAACGGTTACAATTTTTGTATTTTCATAAGAGTATCGTTTTTATGTAATTTTTTTCGCTCTATCGAATGCTCCTATTTTTTCAGCAAAGAGGATACGAGGAGAAATGTTGTCTTCAAAAAATCATGACCCACCTTCTAAAAACATCCTTTATAACAATATCAGAAATCTAGAAGTGTATGAGAAGAATGTATTTTATCAACATACATTCAATCTGGTGGCTTCCACCGTTGATCTACAAAGCGCAGATACGGCCTGTTCTAGAATACTGTTCCCATATATAGGGTTCAGTACCAAAACATACGCTGATGCTCTTAGATTCCATCCAGAGAAGAGCCATCCGCCTGGTGGGTGACGCCACATTCACTCACTCTTTGACATCATTGGAACACCGTAGAAAGGTCGGCGACCTTTCACTTTTCTATCGATACTTCCACGGGAAATGTGCTTCGGAAATCTCTGCTATTATCCCTTCACTAGCAATACCAGTCAGACGAACTAGACAAGCCCAGTCAGCACATCCTTTCGTTGTCAACCTCGAAAGATGTCGTACAGCACTTTATCAAAACTCCTTCATCCATAGAACAGCTAGGCTCTGGAATTCATTGCCTGAGGAAGTATTCCCAACAACATATAATCTTCAGAAGTTCAAGAAAAATTCCAATACCTACCTCCTATCCCTTTCCTCCCTAGGAACGCACGATGTTCTTGGAAAATTATAGGGATTCCCTTTCGTGCGCTCCAAGCGATAAAAAAAATATTTCAATTGATCTCTTTTTATATACATTTTGGGCCATCAGTTTATTCATCAAACTATACTCATTTTTCAATTTCAATCTGCTATCACCTCCTGCAAGCTCGTTACAAATTTTTTACTCACCCTGTACGAGTAGAGTGAAAACCTATTGATTTTTCTTGGAGACAGGCGCTATGCTTTCCTCGATAATGTACCTAGGTGCGTGTACTGAATTTATGGACTGTTTTCCGAAGTGTTTCCCAGCATACTGAGAGAAGGATTCGTGAATTTCTTTTGATTTTTATTTAAATTTATGTAACTTTCTGTGATACTGTTGGTAAGTTGGAATTATATGTCACTACTAGACATTTGATCTAATGATAATTAAGTGGTTTATTTTCACGCGAATATATTTATAAAGAAAATATTATTTTGCTCATAATAATAACTACAATGCAAAAGCAATCTGCCAAGAATTCATGAATTCCTCATCGAAATTATTTGCGAATTCCTGGTTACCTATGAAGCTCAAATGTATATTACCTTGCCTGCTACAACAGTAGTTGGTAGATAGTCTGGGTTTTTATGTTAAACAAGATATTTTGTTAAAATTAAAATTCATTGTTTGAGACCGATATGATTCACCCAACAAATTGAATTTTCATTCCAATAAGAACATATTATTTATAAATAGAACTCTAGTAGAATCCCAATCCCGTTCAATCCCAAGTATATACGAAGCGACTTGACAAGGTTTTCAAAGACTTAGGATTTGAAAGCGTTTATCATCAGTCTGGGTCAAAATTAGGCAATTTATTAGGGGCAATCCGAAAGATAAAGTGGACACACTTGAAAAGTCGGGAATATACGAAATAAGTTATAATGATTGTGATAAAACATATATAGGCCAAACCAGGCAACCCATAAAAACAAGGTTTAAAGAACACATAGCACATTTAAAATATGGTAGGTTAGATGAATCGTGTGTAGCCGAAGATATGTTCAATCACAATCATAACACATATTACTAACCTCAGTGAAGCAAGTTAATAATATTACAAAATTAGACGCATATCAAAGCTCAGAGATATTTAAGACTAGTAATAGAGTAATGCATGAGGATAATTCCATATAGCCCTCTAGTTTAGTAATATAAAAATTAAGATTAACATGTGAACTCAACCATGACATACATTAACTTGACGGTTAGTATTCTTCACGGTTGGGTGAACATATACCTATAGTATATAAGCAGCACATTAGAATAGGATAATTAGTTTCAATCTCATACTGAAGATGCTAACATAGTTAGCGAAACACGTGTCGAGGCGTTTAAAAGGCACATATTTGGTCCTATCGCCATATTTTGGTCAGCACAATCCGCCCTTATCCTATCTCCCGATAGTCATATCTAAAAAAATTTTCTAAAATTGTTCTTATCCATCATTCGGTTGTCCCCCTTACAAGCAACCCTCAAAAGTCTTCAAGAGACTTTTGCTAGCAAGGAATGACGAAGTCTTACCTTCAAACGTGTGATCCCGAACACTTTCTTAAGAAGTGCCCATAGATCTTTCGAACCGTTCCCATCACCTGTTCTCTGCAAGTTGTTCAACTACTCTTACAAATTGGGAATATTCCCGTCCAACTGGAAAATTGCAAGAGTACAACCAGTTCCTAAGAAAAGCAAAAAGACCCTACCTACTTATCTATTATTTCAGATCATGGAGAAAGCTATCAACATCGAGCTCATTAAATACCTGGAACATTCTGGCTTCAGTCATCAGAGATCAACTGGTGACCTGCTCGCTCACGTCTCACATATATGGCAGCAATCTATTGAAAAATATGGTGAAACCTTAGCCGTGGCACTTGATATCTCCAAGGCATTCGATCGAGTCTAGACCGTTACCACCGTTGTATCGGTGGTAACGGTCTGGCACCACGGACTCATCGCCAAGCTTCCATTTTATGGCTTGCCTCCCCAGCTATGTTCTCTGCTAGCTAGCTCTCTCTCAAACAGGTCCCTCCATGTAGTGTTTCATCTCACTCTTATCGTAAATGCTGGTGATTTGCAAGGATCAATTCTAGCACCAACACTATTTCTACTCCATATTAACGATTTGTTGAAAGCAACTCCATGTCCAGTACACAGCTTCGCGGATGATAGTACCCTCCATACCGCTTTCTCTTCCAGGGCTCCAATTCCAGCCAGGCAAATCAGAAACGAACGAGGGAGAAATGTTGACAACATAAATATGGACTTGGCAATAATTCTCGAATGGAGATCCAATAACTTGGTAGATTCCAATGCAAATAAGCATACCTTTTCTCTAGAAAAGCCGATCTCACTGTACCCCACATAAGCTTGTCAGGAGTAGCCATACCTTTGTAGACATCCATTTCGATGCTTGGGGTTACTATCAGCAATATAAGGCACAGATACGACCTGTCCTGGAATACTGTTCCCATATCTGGAGTGCAGCACTCAAACATACCCTGAAACTGTTGGATTCTGTCCAAAAAAGGGCAATTTGTTTCGTGAATCTCTTGGTTCTCAGGATGTTCTCTGAACATTATATGATATCCCTTTTCGTGGGAAACCGAACATAAAAAAAAAGTGATATGTTGAGATTCGTGTTTTTTGATGATTGTTCCTTCGCAATTAAATTGTAGAGGCTGAGTTTCATCAGGGAGTATCATTCTGATCCACTAATAGCATGGCGTCAGCCCACTGTGATCATTTATAAAGTTCTACGAGCTAAAATGCGCATGCGTCCATAATGTATCACGTGATTCATTGTGACCAGTCTGACAATGAGGTTAGGAAATGGTTCGAAAACTTTAGGCTCTCGTCTTTCTTAGGCCATCCATCCATCGTGGATAGAAACTGAAACTTCTACCACGAGGCTATACGCTGGCCATGACTCACCCTGGATAATGCATAAACTTTCTATTTTCAAGATATAATATTCTAAGGACACTCCTGCAGGACCATTGCAATGCCAGGATCAAGGAAGATCATTCTGAAGCACGTCATGTCGGGACTGTGCACAAAAATGAATCGCATAAAGCAGCTACCCTCTGACGTCATGGAGACTCCTCTCAATCGATGTTTGAACACCTTCGATATAACCCTACTAGGTGAGTTTGGAGAGTTGTGATGCCTTTAAATTGAGTATCAGATATGAAATAAAGTTTCTGAAAGGACAGGGGCCTGTCAATATTCAGATGATTTGTTTCATTATTATAGTTGCCTGGAGGGGGTGAATTTTAGGACACATCTTCACATGAAGTAAAACTCTTATCTTGATCCCAACGATATGTCCTTGAAATATTTACATCGAATTTTGAATCACCCTGTATAAGTAATTATACAAGGTGAATCTGAAAGTGAGGTTTTTTCAACAGGATATACAGGGTGTCCCAAAGTCGCTGGGACAGGATAAGTTCATTGGACCCAACTTATTTGTGTAAAAAAATGTACCGTTTGTCCGTGAGACGAGTTCAAATTTTATATAAAAAACATATTTTGTGCGCTGTTCAAAAATGACTGAAACAAATTGGATATAAATTGACACAAGTGCATTTCAGAGGAAAACCCTTTTTTTCAGTAATCAAAGAAACCTAAAAAGAAATGTAGGAGGGTCGAGAACACCCTCATCCTCCGACTTTTTTTTTTTCAGAACATTCTTAAGGGTGGTAATTGAGTTCTCAATTTTTTTAAGCCATATGGTTAATTATAATCATTTTGTTTTTCTTCGCATAGTCCCGAAGCAAGACAATGTTTTCTTGAATAATGCTAACAGATATTCCTATTGAAAGTTTGATAAAATTGTAATACAATACTATACAATACTCAACAGCTTCTCATGATCTACGAAGCGCAGATACGGCCTGTTCTAGAATACTGTTCCCACATATGGGGTTCAGCACCAAAACATACGCTGATGCTCTTAGATTCTATCCAGAGAAGAGCCATTCGCCTGGTGGGTGACGCCACACTCACTCACTCTTTGACATCATTGGAACACCGTAGAAAAGTCGGCGACCTTTCACTTTTCTATCGATACTTCCACGGGAAATGTTCTTCGGAAATCTCTGCTATCATCCCTTCACTAGCAATACCAGTCAGACGAACTAGACAAGCCCAGTCAGCACATCCTTTCGTTGTCAACCTCGAAAGATGTCGAACAGCACTTTATCAAGACTCCTTCATCCATAGAACGGCTAGGCTCTGGAATTCATTGCCTGTGGAAGTATTCCCAACAACATATAATCTCCAAAAATCCAAAGAAAATTCCAATACCTAACTCCTGTCCCTATCCTCCCTAGGAACGCACGATGTTCTTTGAACATTATAGGGATTTCCTTTCGTGCGCTCCAATCGATAAAAAAAAATTTGGCAGTGGAAACAAACGAATTGACATTTCCCATATTCCCTTCGTTTCCACTGTCCCATAAATTTTTCATTATGATTCCGAATTTCAACAGTAGAATACGAAATTATTATATTAGCGATTCTGACTGCATTATGAAATACTTTTAAAATACTATCTTAGTAGCTCTGTGAATATTCTTATAATACAATAGTTTTGTAAATGTATTGTATAAGTAACATGAAGACATACTCATGGGACAGTAATATAATCATTATATATCGATTATCCTATAACGGTTGAGTAGTTTCCTAAAGGATGTCCTAAAAGAACTGAACTGTTTCATAAACCCTATAAGATTTTTACCTTCTTATAAGATATGCTGTACATCATTTCTCACAGTCTTTATAACATTAGTTCCGCTAGTTAGATTTGTATCGAATTGATGAATGAAATAACCATTATTTTTAATGCAAAAAATGCCAAAATGCGTTCGTTTCAGGCGTCGGTCACATGGTAGGCGCCGGCATCTACGTATTAACCGGCGCCGTGGCGCGCGACGTCGCTGGACCTGCCATTGTCCTGTCTTTCGCACTGGCAGCGTCGGCGTGTCTCCTGTCGGCGCTATGCTACGCCGAATTCGGCGCCCGGGTGCCCAAAGCGGGCTCCGCGTACGTCTACACATATCTCAGCATCGGAGAGTTCTGGGCGTTCGTCATCGGCTGGAATATCCTGCTCGAGCACATGATAGGTGTGTATGAAATTTATGAGAATTCATTAGAACATGAGAATTTATGAAAACTCATGGGAATTTATGAGAATTCATGAGAATCCAAAAGAATATATGAGAATTCATGAGGATTTATGAGAATTTATGACAAATTATGAGGATATATGAGAATTTATGGAAATTTATAATGATTTATTAGAATTATTGAGAACTCATGAAAATTTATGAGAAATGATGGGAATTTATGAGAATTCATGAGAATTTATGAGAGTTCATGAGAATTTATGAGGATTTATGAGAATGTATGAGAAAAATAGAGAATTCATGAAAATGTATAATGATTTATGAGAAGTTATAAGAATTTATGGGAATTCATGAGAATTCATGGAAATTTATGAGAATTCATGAGAATTTATGAGAATATATGAGAGTTCAGGAGAATTTATGCGAATTTATGAGATATTATGAAAGAATATGAGAATTCATGACATTTCATAGGAATTTGAAAACTTATGAGCGACTAAAGCAAGGACGTGGCTCCTTTTTCGGAGGTGCCATAAGTGCCGTGACGCCACCTCAGCAGCTATCCCGATTACTTCGCGTTTGCCGCCTGCTTCGTCTACGCCCTCTTAGTGGGCTTGGGCGTGTGAGTTTCAGAATATTTGAGAATTCTTCAGAAATCCTCAGAAACATTAGGAATTAGGAAGAATTTTGAGAAATCACGATAGTTTATGAGAATTAATGAGAATTTAGGAGAATTTATGAGAATTAATGAGAAGTAATTGAAATTTATGAGAATTTATGAGCATTTATGAAAATTCATGAAAATTTATAGGAAATTATGGGAATTTCTGCGAATTCATGAAAATTCATGAATCTTTATGAGAATGTATGTGGATGAATGAGATTCTATTAGAATTTATGAGAGTTCATGTTAATTTATGAGAGTTTGGGGACTTATAAGAATGTATATCAATCTATGACAAATTATTAGAATTTATATGAATTCAGGAGAATTTATGAGACGTCATGAGAATGTATGAGATATTAGGAATATAAGGAATATGAGTTGCAATGTCGCTTTTTCTCGCAGGTGCCGCTTCTGTAGCCAGGGCGTGGAGCGGCTACGTCGACTCCTTGTTTGGCGGCGCTATAAGCGACGCCACCGTCGCGGTGACGGGCGAGATGCACGAGCGCCTCCTCAGCCGCTATCCCGATTTCCTCGCCTTCGCCGTCTGCCTCGTCTACGCCCTTCTGTTGAGTGTGGGCGTGAAGGTTTCGGCTGTCGTCAACGGCGTGCTGACGGTCGTCAATTTAGCCGTCATGGGACTGGTTATTGTCGTCGGGTTCTATTATGCCGACGAGAAGAATTGGACTGACGTCAAAGGTCGGTATTTTCCTGATTTATCCAGTATCATTATATGGAGGTGCATGGATTATGTTCCTATGTTCACCTGGATGACCATGAAGCCTCCTTTGGTATGTGGGCACTTTGTCCCTATTTGTTCATTACCTATTCTATTTTGAGGATAAGCTGTTTTTTTCATGCTGACAATGTATCTCTGAGAATTTTTACTGCTGATAATGAACGATGTTCATGTCCTGATAATCTTCAGATTAAACATTTTGTGGAGATGACTTAGTGTGTCTTGTTTCCAGAATCGTATTCACTCCACTTGGAGATAGTACGGACTATGGACCACTACCAGAGTATGGCCCTCTACGCCCAATTGACAGAATGATCTTGCAATTACATTTTATTACGAAAATGAAATATTTCGCCTCTTATGTTTGTTCAGCGTATTTGTGAATTCAATGGAAATTAGGAAAGTTTAACAAATTTATGGGGATTCAGAGGAGATTGAAAGAATTCGATAGAAAAGATTAGACGATGAAATTAGTGATCTTAGAGGAAAATTATAAAGGATTTATGTAAGTGCAAGAAAATTTAAATTTGTCCAAGAAAAATTTGACGTTAATTCATGAGAATTCATCTGAAATCATGAGAATTGAAGAGAATATAAGAAATTCGAGGGACTTTCAGAGGACCTAAGAGAATCCAAGATGAATAATGGAAAGATCTGTGAGGATTTGAGTAAGCAAACTTCATTGGGGAATCTTCTCTCATTTTAGTACATTTTTTATCGCTTGGAGCGCATGGAAGGAAATCCCTATAATGTTCAAAGAACATCGTGCGTATTGGAATTGTTTTGAACTTCTGGAGATTATATGTTGTTGGGAATACTTCCTCGGGCAATGAATTCCAGAGCCTAGCCGTTCTATGGATGAAGGAATTTTAATAAAGTGCTGTTCGACATCTTTCGAGGTTGACAACGAAAGGATGTGCTGACTGGGCTTGTCTAGTTCGTCTGACTGGTATTGCTAGTGAAGGGATGATAGCAGAGATTCCCGAAAAACATTTCCCGTGGAAGTATCGAAGTAAATGGACAAAATTATTCGTTATCCAGTTGGATTCTTCCCTAGGATTTGAAAGTATGTCACGAAATTTAGGAAAATTCAAATTTGTCAAGAGAGAATTTGAAGTTAATCGGAGGAAAATCGAGTAGATTAGGAAGAAGTTGAAGTAAATTCTCCGATATGGATATCATTAGATAGATTTTCGACTTATAAATTAAATAGAAGGGAGAAGATTTTCGAGGATTTTAATACATTTGTAAGAAACATGAGAATTTATGAGAATTCAAAACAATTCATGAGAATGCATAGAAATATATGAAAATTCATGGAAATTCATGAGAACTTATGAGATGAGAAGAGTAAACCTCAATTTTTTTCTTGTTCTTCAGGCGGCTTCTTCCCCTACGGCTTCGGCGGCGTCATAGCAGGCGCCGCGACGTGTTTCTACGCCTTCGTCGGTTTCGACAGCATTGCGACCTCTGGCGAGGAGGCGAAGAACCCCTCGTTCTCCATACCGATGGCGACCGCCCTCTCGATGGGCGTCGTCACTTTGGGCTACATCCTCGTCAGCAGTGCGCTCACCCTCTTGCTGCCGTACTACCAGATCAATCCCGAGGCGGCGTTGCCGGAGGCGTTCACCAACGTTGGCCAACATTGGGTCAAGTATGTGGTTTCGCTAGGTATGGAAAAAGGTCGAGATATAATTGAAAGAACTTTAGATAATTAATGAGAATTCAGGAGAATTTATGAGAATTTATGCGGATTGTACCAGTGACGTCAGTACTGCCGACGATTTCCCGTCGTGTTCTAACAGGAGCATTTCTTTGGGTATTCATGTTGGAAAGTCTGGAAGGAATAAGTAATTCAAAAATATTCACTGCACTTTTTCTCATAGTGATTATATGGTATTTTTTAGACATAAGTGTACTTGAATTTTGTCAATTGAGAAAAATTAAATATTTCCAGGTGCAATCTGCGGTATGACTACGACCCTATTCGGCTCGCTGTTCTCCTTGCCCAGATGCATGTATGCAATGGCGGTAGACGGCTTGCTGTTCAGCTTTTTGGGAAACGTCAATTCCAAGACACAGCTGCCGCTTGCCAATCTGGCAATTTCCGGACTATTTTCGGCAACGATAGCACTGATTTTCGATCTGGAGAAGCTGGTAGAATTCATGTCGATAGGGACACTGCTGGCCTACACGATCGTCAGTGCTTCTGTTATAATACTGAGGTGAATTGAAATCTGGGAATTTGTGGAAACTCCGTAGGTCTACGGATGAATGCACAGATGTGGCAACACTGGTTGAAGAATATTTTATGGGAAATCCGTAGGTCTACTGAATAATCCGTAGGGTTGGCAACACGGGTTGCAGATTTTCTTAACGCTATATGTCTCAAAATACTTGATGATTGTTTTGTATACAAAAATAATAGTTCTAATGGACACCACAGTAAAAAGCCTTCACTCAATCTAGACTTTCTCATCAAAACTTTCATCATTATACTATATCAAAAATCCGTTGATGTACTGAATAATCCGTAGGGTTGGCAACACGCTATGATTTTTATTTTCAAAGTATAGACTTCTAAATATTTTCATCGCTTAATTTTCCGTTACAAAAACCTTTTTTAATATGCAGGGTATAACATGAAGCTATAGTCATGTTGTAGCCATCTAGTTGCAAAGCTCTAATGTAGGATCCAAAGATCGCGACACACACTGTATGGCGCTGCCATCTATAGTCACACGTACAGACCCTTACGTCTATACGCTACAGAGTGATACATTGTCTGTCTTCCTTCACAATGGTAGTGAAAGTTCTGATTTCTCACTGGGAATTTGTTGAATGATAACTAGATTAAATTTTTGTTGATGCATAATACTCTGTTCATTAAAAACTCGTAGGCCTTAGGATAAATTCATGAAATCGGCAACAGCGACTCAACCATTATTCCGCAGGTACAGGCCCAGCTTCGAAACGACGGCCTCCAAACCGGTTCTGACCCCCGGATCCGAACAATCCAGCACCGCTTCCGACTGCAGCCCCATCTCGGAAATCGGCAACCTAGCCGGTACGCTGAAGGTGCAGTACGGCTGGCTGACCCCCGTTTTCGGCCGACGCGAACCGGGGACCGTCGTCACTGCCGCCGTGTTCGTCTACACGACTTGCGCTTGCGCTCTGTGCGTGATGTTCCAAGTAGTCGATCGCGACATGAGCCAAGGCATGTGGTGGACGGTGTTGTTGGCCGTTATTTTCATCTTCATCATGGCAACATGTGAGTACTCACTCCCCTTTTGTCTGTCAGGTAATCGTCATGAATGCGTCACGTTTCCACATGCTTTGAAACTAAGAGAAACGTAGAAAAAATGTTATTGAAACGTCACTAAAACATCACGCAGCGTCGAAACGTCGAACAGCGTCGAGAAACGTGGAAAAAACGTCATAAAAATGTTACGAAGGCGTCAGACATGTATTGTAGTGTCGAAATGTGTCGAGAAATGTTGAAAGAACGTCTATACTTCGACAAGTCTCGAAACATGTGATAAAAACGTGCTGTTTCAAGTTGTCGATCGCGACTTGAGGCAAGGCATGTGGTGGACGGTGTTGTTAGCCGTTATTGTCATATTCATCATGGCAACATGTGAGTACTCACTCCACTTTTGTCCGTCAGGAGAACGTCATAAATGCGCCATGTTTCCACATGCTTTAAAACTAAGAGAAACGTAGAAACAATGTTATTGAAACGTCACTAAAACATCACGCAGCGTCGAAACGTCGAACAGCGTCGAGAAAACGTGGAAAAAACGTCATAAAAATGTTACGAAGGCGTCAGACATGTATTGAAATGTCGAAATGTGTCGAGAAATGTCTATACTTCGACAAGCCCCGAAATCCCAAAAAATGTGATGAAAACGTGCTGTTTCAAGTTGTCGATCGCGACTTGGGTCAAGGCATGTGGTGGACGGTGTTGTTGGCCGTTATTTTCATCTTCATCATGGCAACATGTGAGTACTCACTCCACTTTTGTCCGCCAGGAAAACGTCATGAATGCGTCACGCTTCCACATGCCTCAAAACTTAGAGAAACGTACCGAAAAATGTTTTTGAAACGTCACTTAAACATCACGCACTGTCGAAACGTCGAACAGCGTCGAGAAAACGTGGAAAAAACGTCATAAAAATGTTACGAAGGCGTCAGACATGTATGGAAATGTCGAAATGTGTCGAGAAATGTTGAAAGAACGTCTATACTTCGACAAGCTTCGAGAAATGTAATAAATACGTGCTATTCCAAGTGGTCGATCGCGACTTGAGCTAAGGCATGTAGTGGACGGTGTTGTTGGCCGTTATTTCCATCTTCATTATGGCAACATCTGAGTACTCACTCAACTTTTGTCCGCCAGGAAAACGTCATGAATGCGTCACGCTTCCACATGCCTCAAAACTTAGAGAAACGTACCGAAAAATGTTTTTGAAACGTCACTTCCCAGATAACACACATACATCCATTGGATGTCCATTTTGAATCCATTAGGTAGCCGGATGTCCATGGATGTCCAATGGACATCCATTGTGTATATGTACAATGGGCATAGAGATTTGTACATACAATGGACATCCATTTTGTAGTTGTACAATGGACAACGAAATTTTTACAGCCAATGGATATCCATCATACTTATCCAATGGAAATCGTTTCGCAAAGTATGTATGTGTCATTTATGACTCTTCTATTTCAATTGAAATATTTTTACCAATAATATATAATATATATATTATATATGAACATTAATCACGGACATCTTCGCACTCGGTACTATTTTTCAAGATTTTATACGTCTCATCATTTTTGTAGATTACGTACCTATATAGAGGTAGGTACTTATTTTGAAGTTGATTTTCATCCAATTTCAATTTTAAACCATTTAGGCCGTGCAAATAAGATCGATATGGGCAAATATTATACGGCGGGTTTCTTTCGAAAAAGATGAATCACCCTGTAACACTTTTGATAAGGGCCGTGTAAAAGCTTTATTGCGGCACTAAACTTCAGCAAATTGCATTTTCTCTCGATGTGAAATACCGTGAATACGAAATACTTGCTATAATATTTATAACAGCTCAGTGGTCCAGAGGTTAGCGTTGTGATCCACGAGAGCGGGGTCCGGAGTTCGATCCCCTCAAAGGACAATTTTTTTTTAATTTCTACGTTCTGGCTGGACAAAATTTGGATATCCAATGGAAATCCAATGTATTCCTGATGAGTATCCAATAAACTTATCATTGGAATGGACATAAGTTGGATTTTTGGTAGACATCCATTAGAGTTCTGATGTGTATACAATGGTATTTCAAATGTAATGGACATACAATGGATCTTCATTGGGAATCCATTGGATGTCTGATGAGTATCCAATAGACTTCCAATGGAAAGGACAAATATTGGATGTCCAATGGAAATCCATCAGATGTCTAATGGAAAGCCAATGGACTTCCAATGTATGTCCAAACTGTTGGACATGTATTATCCAATGGATGTCCATTGGACAAATACTGGACAATGCCGTCCATCCAATGGATGTCCAGGGTATCCATAGCTGGACATCCATTGGTTGTCCAATGGATTCACTTGTGTTGTCTGGGTTAAACATCACGCACCGTCGAAACGTCGAACAACGTCGAGAAAACGTGTAAAAAACGTCATGAATATGTTACGAATGCGTCACACGTATCGAAATGTCGAAAAGTGTCGAGCAATGTTGAAAGAACGTCTACTCTTCGACAAGCCCAAAATGTAATAAAAATTTCACGAAAACTTTACGGAGGCGTCACTCATACGCCAGAAACGTCAAAAAGAGTCGAAAAAATGTAAAGAATCATGCGTCAAAACGTCGAGAAGCGTCTAAGAACGTGATAAATGCGTCACTAAAAAAGTCGCGAAAGCGTCACGTATTCGTCAAAGATTCGAACTGCGTCATATAATGTAATAGAAACATCACGAGAACGTCAAGAAAGCATCACGAAAGCATCACGAAAGCATCGAAACGTCGAAAGCATCGAAAAAATGTGATCAAAACGTCACGGAAATATCACGGAAGCGTCATGAAAACGTTACTCAAAGGTCACGCAAGAATCGACAAATCGAACAACGTCGAGGAAACGTAGAAAAATGTCTCAAATATGTCACGAAAGCGACACGCATGCATCAGAAAATTCGAAAAGCGACGAGGAAACGTGAAAAAACATCATGAAAACGTTGAAATAATATGATTTTAACGTACGGAAACGTGAATAAAAGGGTGCAATGTGTCGGTAAAGAGAATATATCGACGCGTCCATGCCAAAACGGCACAAATGCCATCGAGTCAACTCTACAGGAGAGACTAAAAACTGATTAACTTTATTCGTAATTGCCACACAAGTCTGCTGGATGTCTTCAATGAAAGATTGATTTTTTTCATTATTTTTGATGAATGTCTAATGAAGACTCTGATTCTCGCCCTCATGCAATAAATGAAAAATTGAAAAAAATGGCGCTTGTGCCAGTCCACACTAGGTACAATGTTTTTATGCCAAAGGTGATACTGGCGTTTGTGTCATCGAACATTCAAGGTTTTGCTCGAATTGCCGCTTATACAGTTGATATGCCAAGTTAAAATTAATGTGTGTGATTTCTCATGTGTGTCGTTTATGCCACCATGATGATCTACAAAATATTCCATCATAATCGTCTGATAATAAGGAATAATGAGGAACTTCCTCTACAACAACTTTTTGCAGCAGTACATTTTCCACATAATCCAAATCTTCTCGTTCAGAAGTACTGAGTGGCTCAGTTGGAAGTTCTCCAATATTATGTTGAGGCATTATGATATTTGAATCGTGGAAAAAATCTTTCTGGACTTGATTATCCAGTTCTCGAAAGATGATATCATTGCTCATGCAATGCTTCTGTTAGCATACTATCACAATTTGAAATGTCATTTGAAACGGTATCACAATTCGAAATGTCATTCGAAACGTTATCACAGTTTGAAGAGTTAGTTGAAACATCATTGCAGTTTGAAACCACTTGATTTTCAGTTTCTTTCAATGCCATCAACAGAATTTGTTTGCTTCTAGAGATGTTTATCTGCAAAGTAAGGAAACGGCATAAGCGCCAAATATCAATCGCAGTTTTGAAGCTGTTTTATTTGAAATTGATTATCAACTTCCTACTGACATATCAAGCGACGATAGGTTTACAGTAAAACATAAAAAAAACTATGAATAATTGTATTTAAACATGTTTTTTCGATGTAAGGATAATGCATGTGATTCGCTATAGGCGATGGCATTTATGCCAAACAAGTTCTCATGATACTGTTTTGGCATTAACGCCTCATACTGTTTCCTCAAAAACTACGATTTTGGGTGATGAATACGTCATTTGAACTAGAAATACCTGCAGATAGTTTAACGGAGTAATGTAATCAACTTCCATATGAATCAAATTATATTACTTACTGTGATCTCACAAGCGAAACAACTCACCCCATTGAATGCTTATGGGTAACTGGCTTTTGTGCCGTTTGATTTTCATTGAATATGGTCGAATTGGCGCTTGTGCAAATTTAAACTACAAGAAAAGACAGAAAAACGAATTTACGAATATATGCCGTTTTGACCATTGGATGCAGCATGTGAATACCTATTATTGAGTACCAAAATGTGAGAAGTGACCATTTTGGCGTTTGTGCCGTTTTGGCATGGACGCGTCGATATTAAGAACATATCATTTTCTTTACACTTTTGTTGTTTTTATGTCAGTGATGGTTAGTACCGACCCGTGATGAGTTATGGTATCCATATTTGCCGACTTTTCTTTGAATTTCAGGTATGCTCATCATAAATGCCCATCATCAGAGTAACACCGGATTGAGGTTCAAGGTACCCATGGTGCCTTTCATACCGGCCCTAAGTATACTATGTAACATCGAATTTATGGTCCATCTGAACATCTTGACTTGGTTGAGATTCTTCGTCTGGATGATTTTAGGTACGAATCCATTATTACAGAAGCTCATTTGTTTCAGTTGAATATTTATCAATATGGATAATTCCATATTGAAGTTTTCTTTCTCTATTTTTTTATAACTATTCTAACCCAACAAGAGATAAAGAAGATTTTTATAAATATATTACACATAGTCATTGAAAAATTACTGAATACGTCATTTTTCCTATACGAATTATCCTGAATTTATGAATTGAATTTGAAAAATGCCCCAAATATAAAATTCGACGTTAAGCGTTTTCAAAAATTATTCCTTTAATATTTCACGAATTTATTCACTGCATACAGGGTGTCCCATAATGAGCGTGCAATACTTCACCAGCAGATTAAACAATCAAAAATAAGAAAAAAAGTTCTTATAAACATAGGTCGAACAATGTCTCATAAGAGAGCTACAACCCCTTGAAGGTGCTACCCTGAAGATGGTTTTTATTATTCTTCGAAACTGTTGATAGCAAAATCATAAAATTCTGCAAGTTTGCTAATCTTTTTATGACTAATAATATGCGATAATAATAATTTCAAACTTCCATCTAGAAATGGGTTAAACTTTGGGGGGTGGGGGTAAACACCCCAACTTTCTCAAGTGCGGTTTTTTTGCAACTTCAGCATGAAATCATAAAACTTCGAAGCCTTTTGCAAGGAAAAAGTTCATCTTGTTTAACTTCGATAGAAAGCACCGTTCTCGAGTAAAATCAATTTGAAAATTACTTCACATGTCATAAAAATTCATAATGAAATTAGAAGAATTCAAAATTTGTGGAAGGCTATGCACAACCAGTATGTTTGGGGAAAAACAATCAAGACAGGTGACATGAAAATTCATGAAATAAGTGACAGAAACATTGTAAATTTGAGTAATTTATGGAAAAATATACTCATTTAATTTATCTGCGAGACATTTTTTTCACTTGAGTGATTATTCAAAGTGGCTTCCATTTTGTTAGATGCATATTCGGGCCCGACGACTCATAGCTTGAGAAGCACGCAAAATTTCATAATTCTGCTAACAGTTTCGAAGATATAAAATAAAAACCATCTTCAGGGTACCTTCAAGGGGTTGTAGCTGGCTTATGAGACATTGTTCGACCTATGTTTATAGGAACTTTTTTTCTTACTTTTGATCGAAAAATCTGCTGGTGAAGTATTGCACGCTAATTATTGGACACCCTGTATAAATAACCCCTATGTGTGATAAATTTCTGAACTCATCAGCTTTTCATTGAGATTTAAAAAATTTAATAACATATAGTGAGTAATGTTTCAAAAAAATTGTCGCGGACGTCATTATTCAAACGTGGATCACTCTGTATATCTAATTTTCTCTCATAAATGTGTGAAATTGGGATTGAAAATCGACCTTCCGAAGGAGATTCAGAAATTGATAGTTTGAATTCAGTTTTTGAATTCAGCTCTTCATGGAGATTACAAAAATTGAATAATATATAGGGTTTTCCATTTGAAAAAATTTAAGCGGAAGTCATTACTCAAACATGGACCACCCTGTATATTTAATTTTCCCGTGAAAATGTGGTTAGTTGAGAAAAAAAATCGACCAGATTCACGGGTTTCCTCAGAAATGGATAGTTTGGATAAATATAACTTTTACTTCCACTGGATCACTTATATGTGTGAAACATCGATTAGGTTTCTACTAATCACTCACAGTTTTTCGTTTCTCACTTTAACAACCAACCTATGTAGGTGTGATTTTTAGAGAGATGGCATAGTTATCAACAATATAATGGGAAATAAGCAGTTCCTACCTTTCTTATCTTAGCTTACACGCGATCATTTCAATAAAGTGCAATCAGAAATGTTTCATCACTACTGATAAGTTTCCATTTCCTACTCCAATTCAGAAATAGCATCCAGAAATCTAGCTATTTTATCATTGCATAAACAATGGTTTTATCTCTAAGCATCCTGCTTCAATTAAAACAATGTTCATAATGAAAATGTTTCAACTTGAGGAATTTTTGTTTACATGCATACTCGACAGAGAATTAATGAACCTTGACATCAGAAATACGGAAAACTTCTAAAGTTAGGATAACTGATGGCTAAATCAGTTCCAAATAGATGTCACTACACTGAGAAAACAGTTCGTTAACAATAAATAAATTTTCTTCAATGTTAACAAATTATGCTTTTGAATAGGGCCAACCTAATGTAATTTAACGACAAGCAGATGATCTCCTGTCAAGTATTGCTCATCTATTCGACAAAGCTGTCATTGCTTGAAATTTGACATTCCATGAGCGATGAGATTTTTTTTAAATAATAACACAATGGAGTCATTGTGATATCAGGTACGGAAATAAAATTGATGACATACAAAGTACCTCATTGATGTATCGAATACAGTAAAACAAAAGCAATCTTGTGTTATAGCCGTAGAAAATATTAAACGGTCTTGGTCTTAGGTACCTTATGATGTCCATGACTTGGTTTCTAGGAATGTTAGTATACTTCCTTTACGGAATCCATCACAGCAAAGAAGGAGAGAGCAATTCCACCTACTCCATCTTGATGACTTCTTCGGAGGCTGTCAAAGAGAAATGGGGCTCCACCAAAACGAGCATCAAGAGTGCCTTAGCGAAAAGGAGATCTAGTGATAGAACTGCCATAGTGGAAGACGAATATGAATAGAATTCTAAATTAGAGATGTACGACTTAAAACACGAAACACTGAATGCTTTATTTGTTGTAAATATGAAATAATAATGATTGTTGAAAAAATGCGATATTTTTATTTTCTATCAACTTTATTATTCCTATACCGGTTGGCGATTTTACTAAATATACTGCACGCTAGCACAAACCACGCCCACCATAATACGCGTCATATATCCAAACATTACCGATATACTCGGAGTCAGCACATCGCACTAAATATACTGTGCTCCAACGCAAGAATACACTTTTTATGATTTTGACACGAATTCGACTGAAGCTCTCTCGTTGTCAATCTCTTAGTGAATTCATACACCCAAATGGTCTACTGGTTAGCGCTGTCGACTTTCAGTCTGAAGGTTGGTTCGATTCGTTGTGAACTTGAACTTTTTTTTTTCACCAATGTTTTTTTACTTCATTCTGGTTTTCCTTTTTCATAAAATATTTGAAGTCAAATAGGTTAGTGCGTTTAGGATGAACAGTCTCATTTTATTCAATTTTGTAGAAGAACTCAACTTTTGAAATATATTATTAATCAATGTGTTTCTACACTCCATTCGGTTTTCCTTCCTCAAAAATATTGCAATCAGGGATAGGTTAGTTCGTTGAGGATAAATAGTCTCTGAGTTTTGCCTAAGTAAAGTAGGTACTTTGAAGATGAGATATAACGGTGGGCGTGGTATGTGCTAGCGTACAGTATATTTAGTAAAATCGCTACCGGGTGATACACGACTCACGACATACCCCATTCTTTCTCCTTTGTTTTTCAAGCTATATTTCTGAATTTTGGAACATCGAATAGTTTCACTAGAGGTGCTTTCTCACATTTTACGATTTTCGTTTTCCTCTTCCGATATTCCTTGAAATGACATCAACTTTTCATTCCATAATTGGTTAGATATTATTATAACAATTTTTTTTTAACCTATATCGGATCATCAACTGAAATAGTATATTGTGCAACAAGTGGGGAAAGTTCATTTTCTCACGAGTGAAAAAGTACTTTTCCCCACATGTTGCCACTATACTTTTTCTACAACTGCACTTATCCAAAGAATCCAAGTAATGTAACTTATTTGTGTCGTTTGGAATTCATTTTATAATGTGAACACTTTCCGGAAAAGATTTTATTTCTGTATTTTTTATAGATTCCATAAATTTTTCGTATATGCCAATTCATACTCTCTTCTTGAAATTTCTGGAAACATATCCAATTTTCGCAGCTTTTATCATTATATTTACCTCTGGCGGTGTATTTATCAAAATCGTCACATCTCGGTATATACCGGGTGACACAGGAGACATGTAGCAGCCTGTAGTTTTTTTATTTGAAGAGATAAAATTCAGAAATTCGCAGGGGGTATATAATAAATGGTAGCGCACTTTAAGAACTTAACTTAAATTCCATGGGATTCTATATATATGCTACTCCACAGTGTAGAACTAATCTGATACCGATTAAAATCTTGAACCTTTCAAAATGGCACATCGACGCCATTTTGAATGGTTTTTCCAAATGGAATGGGTTCTGTGATATTTCATATGAAACGCCTTGCGATTCTCTATACGGCATCAGAATTTCAGAACAAAATATTCATTCAAAACAAATAGTAGAGTGCCAATCGAATCCTATCGTTCACCCCGTGGGAAATCGGAGGTAAAAAGCTGTGACATGGTTAGAATTGTTACCTAACATCTCCAGATCATGGATCCACTTGTCGTCAAAAAATCGTCCTGTGCGTTTGGGGGGTAGGGGGTAATTAATAAAAAAATATGGATTTTTTTTTTATTCGTGGAAAATATTTATGGGTTTCAGAACTTCCACCCTGTTGAATCTTGATTTCGTGTGACAAGTAAAACAAATTATAGAAAATTTTGAAATTTACTAATTACATTACGATATATCAGAGAATCATATTTCAAACGCCTATAACTCAAAACTTGTAAATTCTCGTTAAATTGTTTTTCATATACCTCGCATTATCTCAGTAACTACAACGTTTATCGAAAAAATACTTCAAATAATGTCGATGCGCCTATGTTTCAAGATGCGAATGGTTCTTCGATTTTGAAAATCGAAGCATAAATAAGGAAGATATTGAGAAAATCATAATGCAATGCAGGTACCACGGACGATCGCGTTTCGCCGCAATCGTACCCCTATTCTCCCCGCAATACCCGCGGCTATCCTGGTTCCATACGCTTTTATTATACACATCAACATTGAGGCGTTGACCATTGCATTTAATGGTGACTTATTGTGAATTAATTGTTCGATATTTGGTACTGTGTGCTCTGTTTCAATAATTAAATAAGTATTGATTAGTTAACGAAATCTATTATTGTAAATTTACCATAAGATATATGTTTCCCTAGATAAATGATGTAAAGTACTATAGCAATTCTGACACTGATCTAGAATATGTCTTGAAGTTGAAGATTCCTTTCCAGCAGAGTACAGAATCATCGAGAAAATGTTTCATTTGTGGAAAAGATGGTCAACTCCTTCGTTGTACAGAATTATCGATAAAAACATTTGAAAGTTGTATGAATATAAGAAAAAACCTCGAAAAAACTATGCGAGGCAAATCGATATGGAACTCCAGAGAATTGTTGATATTTTCAATGAAAATAAAGGTCGATTGATCTTCTGGCACAGGAATATTGAAAACTGGAGACAATAATGTCAGGAATAAAACGCTTTCTATAGTGAAATTGATGTGAAGGTATTTTTGATGTGTCTAAAAGAATCTTCTACCAAAAACGTTCAAATAAGAGTCAAGTTTTGACCTAGTATTGACTACCAACATTGTTAATTGCCATGGAAGTCAAGTATCATAACCAATGCTTTGTATCGAAACATTATAGAGGATCACTGAGTGAGAATACAGTTGTCATACCACACATGACAAAGAATTTGATAATCTCATAAAATTAATAGATGGTGCAGATTTTCTAATGAAAAAGGATATACTTTCAACTGTTTATATCAAAAATATGCCGAACTTGGTGGCAAAACTGGTAAGAAAATCTCAATCGACGATTACTGTCTGTAGGTTAATCGAGAAGGTGAAACATTCATTTTACTTGATTTTTTGGGATTTTCTCCCCTCGTTTCTTTGGACGGTTCGGCAACGAATCTGCTCCCGTTATCAACATGAAAATGCAACTTCCGAAGAAAAATGTTTTGCATTTGTATGTTGGGAACGGGAGCAGATTCGTTTCCGAAACGTCCAGAGGAACGAGGAGAGAAAATCTAGAAAAATCAAGTAAAATGAATTTATCGAAGAAATCAGAAAGCACTACGACAAGGAAATAGAAATTATAAAATGAATCAAAACGTTTTAATGAGTCGTAATTTGTGATTCCAAAAGTGACAAAAACTCATCTGATTCATACACATATAAAGAACAAAGTGAAATTACAGAAGATAACTCCCCTGACTTTGTATATGCATCAGATATGACCCAGATACACAAATTGAAATTTTTTTGAGATATTTATCAAGATATGAGAGATATTCCAGATTATAAACAACTCAAAAATATGGATGTCAAGGCTTACAAGGATATGATACCAAAAAAACTTTTTTTAAATTAGTTGCCTTATACACGATAAAGTTGATTCAGTTGATTCAAAGGTGTTCAGTATCTGATGTCAAGGTATAATACTCGCTAATTCGAAATTAAAAAAACTCACACCGAAACACGTTGGTTTGGGAATAATGATTCATCAAGAGACATGATGGAAAAAAATTATCGTAGCTTTGTGTTCTTGTGGACACTGTATCGTATTTACGTGTATTTACAACTTCGCAATTCGATAGGTATCAAATAATGTTTTTTCCAAGTTTCCACAAGGATATCTCATTTTTATTTCAATATTATATGCATCATGTTTTGTTTCAATATTTGTCAATTTGTTAATAAATGAGATGGTTGACATTTTACTCTGATGGATAATAAATGTACTTTCGAGACAGAATCATTCATAAAATAAATGGAGGGCACTTCCGATCAAACAGCAAGTTAAAATAAATTTCTGTTAACTTGGAAAATAGCGATCAATTCCATTTCTCCCGTGAATTCCAAGATCGTACTATTGTAACACTCAGTATTTCATATTTACGGTGATCGTACTAGGACGGCTGCGGGCGTTGCGGGGAGAATCGGGGTATGAAAGCGGCGAGTCGCCGTCCTTCGTACTACCTGCATTGGATTATGAATTTCCCAATATCTTCCTTATTTATGCTTCGATTTTCAAAATCGAAGAACCATTCGCATCTTGAAACATAGGCGCATCGACATTATTTCGAGTATTTTTTTGATAAACGTTATAGTTACTGAGATAATGCGAGGTATATAAAAAGCAATTTAACGAAAATTTACAAGTTTCGAGTTATAGCCGTTTGAAATATGATTTTCTCATATATCGTAATGTAATTGGTAAATTTCAAAATTTTCTATAATTTGTTCTACTTGTCACACGAAATCAAGATTCGACAGGGTGGAAGTTCTGGAACCCATCAATATTTTCCGAGAATAAAAAAAAATTCCATATTTTTTTATAAATTACCCCCTACCCCCCAAACGCACAGGACGATTTTTTGACGACAAGTGGATCCATGATCTGGAGATGATAGGAAACAATTCTAGCCATGTCACAGCTTTTTACCTCCGATTTCCCACCAACTTTTGATCTAAGCGACTTACGGTTCGTTTGGCACTCTACTAAAAATGTTTGAAATCAAATAGTATAAAGGATCCTGTCGACTAGATGGCTCAACGTGTTCTAGTGTAATCTTCAACTCTCTTTTAGCATGTAGAAAAGTTGTCTATCTATAAAAATATCTAAAGATGTGGTAGGTATCTAATTTTTGCTATTTTCATAAGTTTTAAGGAATATACAAACTATCATCAAGAATAAAAAGTTCCATCTGGTGCATACTTTTTGGTAGTCACTGTAGAGAGGGTTATCAAAATTAATTTTCCATAATTGGTAACTTTGTTATTATAAGAGTAA